GCCAGTTTTGCATTTCCGGGCTTTTCAGCCAATCAGACGGGACCTAGTCCTGCCCCTGCTTCCGGCCACGGCTCCTCCCCTGCAGCAGCTGCCCCCCCCACACACACACACACAGAGGGGGTTCAGCGCCGCGTGGAGACGCCATTTTAAGTCAGTTTTATCTGCTGACTCAAAGGACATTTCATGTTCGTGTAAGGAAATACCTGGTCCTTTACAGACATGCAAGTTGCTAGATGACTCCTTGGCTCCTCCTGGCACTATTGCAGTGTTGTTCACTCTCACAGACCTCGGTGGTGCTGAGAACCTGAAAGCTTCCATCTGAGAGGTCCAAGGAGACACCATTGCTTTCTCTGGGAGGGCCTATCCTGTAAAAAAAAACCCACATAAGCTTGTGCTCAAGCCACTGATGTTATTTTTCACATACACTTTGTTTCAGCATTCTTCAAAAGCCTCAGGTGTAACTGGATTAACTATTTTTTGTTTCAGATGTGATGCTGGCTACACTGGACAACACTGTGAAAAAAAGGACTACAGCGTTTTGTATGTGGTTCCAGGCCCAGTACGATTTCAGTATGTCTTAATAGCAGCTGTGATTGGAACCATCCAGATTGCTATCATCTGTGTTGTAGTCCTCTGTATTACAAGGTCAGTATCTCCAGACACTTTACAATAGAAAAAAAGTCTTTTGGTTTTCCTGCTTTGTGCACTGATTATACAGATTTCTGCTGTGACACTAGTGATAACAAATGCTATTTCATTCACCAACAAACACAAGATACCGTCTGGTCCAGCCCGCCAGAGCTGCTTTATTATTATAACTGAATTCTTACTTCAATCTTAATCAAAGTAAGGTAGGTGCCTGCAGCAAATGAAGTTTCCTGTTTTGTATTCAATGCTTGGACAAATATTGTTCATATAAATAAGGGAAATATAAATACAGCAGCTGGAGCAACACTTAATAAAACTAATCATATCTCCATCTGGTTTCCTCAAGGGCCCATTCTCTTAGTCCTAATCAGGTAAAGCATACAAAGTTTTAAGCCTGTTTGCAATCCCATTGATTAAATGATTTAATTAGCCTTGTATACATGTTCAAAGGTACTGCTCAGGTTTTAAGGTCTTCACTAAATGGTGGCACACCAGGCCATGCAGCCTTTCTTTTTTCTTTAATGAGGAGAAAGAGTTTGTATGAGTGGCAGCAACAGCCACAGGGTGGTTCCAAGTAAGAGGGGTAAATGAAGTCCTTCCCTTCCTACACCTGCTGCTCTTTTTTCCCCAGTGAACTATGTTACTGTCTCTGAGATGGCTTGGAGTAAGTTCTGAACTTCAAGCATCTTCAGGCTTCTCTCAGAAATCACAAGCTTAAATTTGCTCAGCAACACCGATAAATCTCTCTTTTAGAAATAATTTTTAAAAGACAAGAAATAAAAGCCTGGTATTACACCTCTGTAGAAAATAAAATTTGTAATGTATCTCAGTCCTTATGTTGCACTACCTGGCTGGAAGACAAGGATAGCATTTGCTTCTAGGAAAGATATTAAAAAAACAACAACACCAAAACCAGCCAACAAATCTAAGTCCTTCTGTGGCCTAAAGGCATAAACCAAAATTATCTAATGAAATGAAGCTACTTTTTTGGCCAAGCTGAGTCTATGAACTCAACAGTAAATGATGAATGAGGCAACAGATTATATTATGGTGCTATTGACAGAAGTAATTCAACCAACCAAAAATGTGGTGCATAGTAAGGAAAAAAAGGTGCAGTAACTGATAATGGAACAAATACTCTGTATCACTATGTCAAGTGAGTCCGGCTTTGTCACCCTGAGGCAGAAAGGCAGAGTCCTTTCCATTGAGAAATGAAGGCAGCATGCTCTGAGTGGTATGGTGCTGTATGCAAATTATCCATCACACTCTTCATACATAGATGGTACCTTTCCCCACACACTTTGTAACCAAGATAATTTCTGATCTTTTGACTTTTTCCCATCATGCATGTAATTACTGCTCATCCCAGGATAATGAGCCCAGATACATTTGCAAAAGTGTGCTCTTAAGTGGCCTAAGAGAAGAATCCACATGACATGAGAGCACTGTGGCAGTATGTGCTTAAGTAACTGAGTTATCTGCTTTGAGGAACCTGACTACTCGTGTGAACTCCACACCCTGAACTCTTGAAAGTGTAAAAACCACCCTACCAGATTCCTGGGAGAAAGGAAGGAAACTTCACTCTCCCAGAGGCCACAGTGGCCAAATTCTTTGCTGCTCACTTCAGCACAGCTTCACCTAATTTATCAGATGAGTTTGGTGCACTATGTGCACACTCTGCATTTGAGCCACCAAGAATGTCATTGAAAATGTTTTACCTATTGCTGCTGTGACTGCTGTTAAAATCCCACCTGTACAGTGGTGCAGACCTATGGGGTGTCCTCCACTGCTGGAGGTCCATTTGCTCGGAGCCGTTTCTAAACACTTTTAGGGTTGTTGTTTTGGCATAGATACTTTATTCTGAATAAATGAGCTGTGCTGCTGACAGGGGCAGTCTGCCCTTGCCCCTTCTGCCCTGCCCTTGTTTCCTGGGCATCTGTTTCTGCCAACACTCTTGTGCCACCATTAGCATTTGTGTAGCCTGGTCAGGGGACAGATTCAGCTGTGAACTTGGCCAACCAAATGGATTCTTTGTTTTTAAGCGGCTCAATTCCTTGATGAGGTTTGGCTGCTTGGCTCCTCATGGCAACTGCCAGCACCAGGAATAAGCTGCTGGGGAGGAGGAGTAGGGTGACAGAGGGAAGAAGGTAGAGAAGTGAGGTCCCTGTGCCCAAGGACATTTAGCTCAGAGGCAAAAAGAGGAGCAATGATAAAAGTGAAGGAAGATGGTGAATAATACAGGTACAACCCAGTGTCATAATGATTCTCAGCAGTTTTCTTTACAGCTTTGTGTTTTTAGTGTTTCCCTAATGCTTAGTCACAGCAGTCTTATTTACATGAAGAAATAACTTGATTAAAAATGAATGCATAATGTGTTCTACCTGCTATGAATCACATTGTGAGTAACTCAAGCTTGTGTGCAAGCTTCAATGGAAGGAAGGCAGGCACTGTGTACTGTGCTCCAGTACCTAGTTTACATTGATAAAACTGCTGTGTTCATAAAGAAAAGCATCCCCCACACAGAGCACTACAAAGAACTTTTGATTAAAGAGTTAAGGACCAAGGAAAAGCTGTCACTGAATTTTAGCAGATGATTAAGTCTGAAAAGCTGGTTAAATGCCAACGCCCCTCTTAGGGAAATCCAGATGCACTTCAGACACAACCCACCTACAAATCCAACAGCATTGCATTTAAACAATCCTAGTGTCAGTACTTGGCCCTGGGGCCTTCCCAGGCTTCCACTGATTGTGAGTGGAGCATACTTTGCAATTAAATGATAGGCATTTCTGGTTAAAAGATGCTTTTTCATCATCTTAATTGGAGTAATCTCTACATTTGAATCAATATCTCCTGACCTTGGACTAAGTGACTGTAGAGATGCTGTCAGTGTCGGTTTTGGGAAAGTGCTGTGAGATGCTCAACTCCTTGCTTCCAGCTGGAGCCTGGGAATGTACAGCTGCATCCCCTGAGTTCAGTGACCAACCTGGTCATCCACCAGCCACCTGGTGTCTCCACATTTCTTACAAAACTGGTCCAGTTGTGCCCACTGTGGCTTCCCACACCTGGTTCTCCAATCCTGCTTCATGTGGTTGAACACTAAGGCGAAGGAGGGCTGTGCCTTCTGCTGTAAATCCCCATCCCCTGGGAATGGGGAGGAACCACTGGCCGCTTGGTGGGCCCATGAGGCTGCTGGCTGGTGCAGCAGGGCTTAGCAGTGCTGTCTGTCACATGTCAAGGTGTCAGTGCTGCCTCCCGTGGAGCACTGCAAGGTCCTGCTGGGCCATCTCCAGCTGAATGGGCACAAGAAGCTGGGGATGGCTGGGGCTGGGCAGCTGTCGGCACACACGATGTGTGGCTCAGGGAATCAGCCCTGTGCCTGCTTGCAGCAGCTCCCTGACTCACTCCAAAAGTCTGATTGCACTTTGAGGAACGCCGTGAATGATGAAATCACAAACTGGCTGAAGGCTGCATTAGCTTCATAATGAAAGCTCTGCCGTGACCACCTAGAGCACTGGAGACTCAGGCTTATTTTTCATGGAGTAGTGATAACAGCCTACTTTGCTGCTTCCAAGACAGGAACAAGGCAATATATAGCACACGGCTATACAGTTTCTCATGAGGGGGTGGTCCTGTTGGCTTGAAAGTGAGGCAAGTCGGGACAGTCTGACCCACATTTTGTAAGACACTTACATAATTGTATTTCAGCATTTTGAAATGCTTCCCTAAGTCCTTACGCTCTTGTTTAGCCTTTCAGTTGGCTTCACAAAGCCATAGCATCACTCCCAGCCAACAGGGGGAAAGAAAAATGGCCTTCTTTATTTTAAGGGGTCAGTAAATCCTTATTTCACTCTATTTTGCTCCGAGTTATTTGATGCAGAGCTGAAGGTAAGTGCCTTGAGCTCTCGCTGCACGGGGAGGTGATCCCTGGTGCATAACCCGTAGGGTTTCACAAGGTGCTGCTGAAAGCCTCCGTGTAAGAGAAAAAAAAAGGTGACCCAATGCAAAGGGCTTTTCTGTGTGTGGTCTGAACTATCATGGGACTTTCTGTCATGCCACTCCAAGCAAGTGTTTAGTCTCTCTTCTGTAACTGCCCACGTGGAGGGCTGAAAGGGTAAAAACTCATACTGGGCTTCAGCTGAAGAAAGAGGACAAATGAATGGCTGAATCAGGAACAGCTTCTTCCTCCTCCTGTGCAAAATGTTAACTAGGTCACCCTGGATAACGGAGTGATTTTATTGCTGGTTGGTTGTCTGTAGCTCACCATTTTCCTACTGGTACCACAGATGCAAGAAGTGTGAGCATTTTTTGAGGGTCTTGGTCACCCTGCTGTGGTCCTGTTTGTCCAGCAGTTGCTGATGTAACCCTCTTGGCTCTCAGCTGCTTAGGACTTCCTACAGCCTCCACTAGGGCTAAACTTCTCCATACCTTCTGTTGGAGGCTGCCCTCCCATGGGAGGAAGCCAGAAACTTTCCATTTGTGGGAAACACTTTGTAGCAGTCCCCATAGCCAACAGTGCTGCAGGTAAGTAGTGGGAAGGTGCCCTTGCTGAAGCTCTGTGAGGTCCTGAGGCAGAAGAGGTTTTGCTTTTGGCAGCATCCAAAGGAAAATAAGACTTGGGGCTTTCCACAGCAGTTGTTTTCCACACTAAGCCAAGCAGCCATGTGAGGAACATAGTGCGGTGCAGACACCCATGAATAAAGTAGCTGCTCACTAATGACCCCAGTGTGGAGCATTTCCATGGAGACTAACAGGGATTGTGGATGCTTAGCTCCTCAGAAAGACAGCCCCACGTCCACTTTGTAGATACTTCACAGACCTGGGAAGCCAAGCAGGTGAGCATGAGACTGTCCTAAACCTTCCACCTGCGCCTCACTGGAAAGAAATGGATTATTTAAAGATGAGAGATGCGGTGCCACTGGGGCTGTCGCAGGGCAGCAGTCACTCCTGCTCTCCAGGAAGGAGCAAGAATCTTAGAATTCCCCTTGCCATATTTTTGCTTACAGTATGTTTTGTGGGTTGTTTTTGTTGGGTTTGTTTTTTTCCTGTGGTACCGGTGCAATTAACCAGCCCATTTCATTTCACTGAGGAGGGAACGCACCAAGGGCCAGAGGATAACTCCCTTGCCCTCCCATCTCCTGCTGCCCACGCCACCTCTTGAGCAGGTGCCCTAAGAGCCGTGTATTCTCACCACTCTCTTTTCCAGGAAATGTCCCAGGAGCAACAGAATCCACAGACAGAAGCAAAACACAGGGCACTACAGTTCAGACAACACGACAAGAGCATCGACAAGGTTAATTTAAAGAGCGCATGTTTCCACAATGGCAAAACTAACTGCAGAGAGCTTGGACTACAAAATACAGTATTATAGACAAAAGATTAAAACAAGATCTACACATGTTGCCTTGCATTTGTGGTAATCTACACCAATGAGAACATGTACTACAGCTATATTTGATTATGTATGGATATATTTGAAATAGTATACATTGTCTTGATGTTTTTCTGTAATGTAAATAAACTATTTATATCACACAATATAGTTTTTTCTTTTTCATGTATTTGTTATATATAATAAATACTCAGTGATGAGAAAAAAAATTGCCTTTCTTAAATTTGCTGTATCTCATAGCTGTGTATAGTCTTGGGATATTGTATATGGAAACTAACAAATCTCTTCTTTTTTCTTCTTTTTCCAGTTCTAGTGGCAATTTTGAGTCTACTGAACTCAGTAGTAGGGTTTTGAGTTGGTCCAAGATCAGCGACAATTATGGATGTGGGAAAGGTGAAGAATAATTTAATCTACATTGAGGAGGGATAAAATATTTCAAATCCGGAGTCAACTACATTTCATCAGCCTTCTTCTCCCATACCATCTATCTTTACTCTTCCATAGCTTAGGAAGTCTTTGCCTTCTAAATTAAATTCTAACCGAAGGGGAAATGGAAATTCTCAGTAACTGCGATGGGAGTGTCAGGGGTAATGTTTTGATTTGGGAGGGAATTAGGTGTCTGTCAAGGTGAACCCTACAAGAACACTGCAGAATCTCCAACTCTGGTCACTGGAGTGAGTGAAAATTGCTTCGTACTGTTGATTGAAAATTATTAGGTTAAAAAAGTTAATAACGTAATAACAGCTGAAATGCCAGCACCATTTGTACCTCGTGAACATGCTGATATAATTTATTTTTGCAACGAGAAGGTGAAAACCACTCAGAAAATACCTTATGAATAACTTTATGGGTGACCCTACTCCATTAAATGTAATGAAGTCAAATGTTGGCTATACCTCAGGAAAATAAGGGCATGTGTTTTGTCACATCCACATGATGGACAAGATGCAAAGTTATTTCCATGGTAGCTGAAACTCTTCAAAACACTTTCTTTTGAGAAGCTAATAATAGTCTTGAGTGTGCTATGAATTTTGAAGATGGCAGAGTGGAACTGAAGGGCAGAGTGTGGTAGCTTCACTCCCGCTGTACAACATCCACTCCACTAACCGACTACTGGAGTAGTCACACTAAGTAACAGGACTGTTAAGTAAAACACCCCCGTAAAGGTATTAATTGTGCTGCTCCTTTCCAAAGAGCCTTTGCTGAGGCAGAAAGTGCCCAGCACAAATAGCCAGCTGTGTTGCTCACTGTCATCACTACATGAGATACTGTACTTGGGGCGGAATCAGGTCTGGGGTTACCTGGGATGATGGCTCATGAGGGTGTTTCCATTTCCTGCTTCAGCACCAGTTCAATCACAACAGTCGTCACGAACCCCACCAGTGACAGACCACCCACTCTGGCCTCCACACACGGGTGAACTGATACTTCTATTCAAACACAGCTTTTGGTCATCCCTGTCCCACCCCCAGCCTGCTCTCAAGTAAATCCATTGCATGATGTTCACACGGTCTCAGTTTTTGTCTTGTTCCGTTTTTTTTTTTTTTTGAAAGGTAATAAAAGGCAATGATTGGCAACAGATGCTTCCAGGCACCTGGTCTGTGCTGATTGAGGGGAGTGGGAGTGTGATACTTTCACAGGCAGTGGGACAGAGGACAGGGTGGGCAGCTCCTGGGGCCGTGGGCTGGGGTGAGGCAGGGGCTATAGAGCTGCTCCCTGCTCCTCAATCCAGCTCACCAGCCATCCGGGCTTCTTTCAAGTGAAAGGAGTGATGCTGCAGGGGTAGGAGATGGCAGCAGGGAGGCAGTAAGCAGGCCTGACCCTGGTTGAGGCTCAGGTTGGAGGTGACAAATGTAGCTCTGCCCTGCAGCCCTCTCACCCCACGCTTTGTGCTTTCCGAGTGAAGAGCTGGAGTCTAACAAGCAGCTAAACTGCAGATTTTTGAGCCGCATCCAAATGTCAGTCCCCCCACTGGGACTATCAGATCTGGACTGTTTATTTCAGTCACTTACATTAGACACAAAAACCAAATGTTAACACACACACACAGCGCCATGTAGCTGTGGCAATAAACCTAATTTTAAAAAAAGGGCAAGGCTTGGCCTGGCCTAAAGTAGCACAGCATCACTCAGAAGTGAAAGGAGGAGTCCAGCACACCAGCCCTTAACTTGCCAAGTTACCTGCTTTACTGTGGAAGGCACAGTTAATCCCTGCCCACCTTGTGCTGGTGAGGAACTGGTACCTGCATTGCAGCTGCAGGGCCTGCCATGAAGCCTTCAAGCCTCCACACCAAGGCCAGTTGTGAAGTACCTGCTGCAGACCGGAGGGCAGAGAGGGGAAAGTGATTTTAGTTTTAAGGCACCAAGGGCAGGTCCTTTTTATTTGAGCCTTTCAAATTTAACCCACAACATGCTGGTATGGGGACACAGTCTGACAATAATTCTTTCTGGGGCTCTGCTTACCAGGAAAGGAGCTTTCTACAGAAAAGATTTGCAGAACCTGTACCAAATACAGCAGCAGCTTTGTAGAAGTGGATCGGGGGGGGGCCAGGGGGGGGGTTTGCTTTTTCCTTTTCTGCAGGGACTGGAACATGCATTTGTTAGAGCTATCACTGACTGGAACTCGAGGTGTGGAAAACCTTCATGCAATTTACCTTCACAAACGGAGGGGAGGTGGGCTGGGCACGGAAGGCCCTGGGCTGGGTGAAGGGGTGGATGGGGATGGCCAGGCCCAGCTCCTCCACCCTATAGCCCCTGGGGGGAGTGGTGCTGATGTGTTGCAGCTTGTCCACTTCTTAATGCACACTTAGAGCAGCAAGAGCAAGGCCCTTTACACAGTGTGTGGGCTTGTTCCTTATCTGGGGAAGGGGAGGGCAGCAATTAATGTATTTTGGCTGTTTCTGTCATGACACCATGGAAGCTGTAAATAACCTCAACTACCAGCACACACTGCAGTAACCACACGAGAGAATGCAGATGCACAAAACCACAGACAAGACCAGTAATGCCAGGCTCAGCACAATTGCTGAGGGGCAACACAAACGTTGTGCTGACGTCCCAGCAGCCTGTGGTCACCTGTCAGCCTGGCTGTTGTTTTACCAAGCCTAAAGCACTTGGTAAAAAATAGGACTGATGGCACACACCTGTTCCCCAAGGCTTTTCCTCACAGCCTATAACATTTTTCTGGAACAAATAAGATGTGTTCATTTCATCCATCATGCATTTATAGAATCAGAACAATTTTGGTTGGAAAAGACCGTTCAGATCATCAAGTCCAAGCATTAACCTAAATTTACCAAGTCCACTGCTAAACCATGTGCCTCAGCACCACTGAACACAACAGCATCCAGCCCTCAGTAAAGCCAGGTGTGCTCCTGGCACACTCTGGGTGCTGGTGAGCAGACCTCAGCTGCCCTGCCCAGCCTGCCATGTTCAGATGATGCTCAATCCCTCAGTGCCAGCTCCCAGCCCACAGGCAGGTATCACAGCCTAACTGCAGCGGGTGGGTGACAGACAACCCAGCACCTTCTCCCACCCCAAAAGCTGCTCAACACAACAGGCACTGATTCCATGCCTCACAGTGCTTGTCCTTAAAAGAAATCTGATCAGACAGTCGCTATCATTCCCTTTCATTCAATGATACTAAGACATGAGGTACAGAACTTCATCATTACAAAAATATCATTATCAAAGGGAGGGTGGACAGCCCATTGTAGCCACTGGCCCCCCCACGCACTGAGGAGTCATGACTCCTCACTGTGCAGGTGGTGAGACTCGAGTACAGGCTGCCCAGATAAGCTGTGGATGCCTCATCCTTGGAAGTGTTCAAGGCCAGTTTGGCAACCTGGTCTAGTGGTTCACAGTGAAGGCAGAGATGCCTGTGCATCTGTCTGTCCCACGTGCAAGTCACCCGAGGGGTGGGTGGCTGTGGGTGCCGTGTATCACTGCCTCCTGTTTTCCAGAAGCAGCTCTCAAAAAGCTTCATCTTCAAAGAGCTCTCTAAAGCTTCTTTGAAAACAAAATGATTAAAGGCTATCTTTCCCCTCATCCAACATCAGACACATCTCACGCCGCATTCTTGCTTTCACCCCTCATTACACATGCAGCTTTTCCACAGCTCCCAGTTTTGCGCCAGGATGGAAGTTACAACCCCGAATTAAAAGTGAAAGTCATTATTGCACATCAAAAGTAGGCACCACGCCTGGGCCAGGCCTGCCCTTTTATCTCTATGTGGCTGGGCCAGGGGGACTGGAGGGGTTGGTTCCAAGTTACTTACAGATTCCAGCCCCCACAGTTCTGGAAGACAAATGGGAGGTGGGAATGCCCACAGCTGGTGGTGCTAACCGGTGGCTTTCCCTCCAGGATAATCAGTAACATCAGCTGGTCTTAAAGGTACATGGAGATGCACTGACCATTAAGATTATGTCTTTAGAGCCTGTTCTGTTCCTAATAGTAATAATAGCAGTAGCAATAACAATACTAACAACAACAAAACCAATAATATATCATCTCATATTTGCTCTGGGATTCTGCACTCTGGGCAGCCGAAGCAGCCTCTGCTGGCACCCACGGGCAGGAGGGCCAGGAGGGGCAGGCACAGCCACCCCCTACCCTGCCCAGAGGCTTTGCCTTCAAATGCTTTTCATATTAGGTGGGTTTAATTTATTTTACTTCCAGTTCAATTAACAGTTTTGTCACAGCAGGAGGGCTGTTGAAAACAAAGATGCCTTTAAAAAAAAAAAAAGGCAAAAAAAAAAAAAAGCAGGATTTTTGTCAACTTTTCCTTTATCCACCCCCCCACACTGTGAGCCACAAAGCAGGAAAATATTCCACAGTCTCACACAGCAGCCACCAAGCTGCATCATAAAAAAGCACGTGAGGAATGTGCTCTGTAATGCTAACTAGGTGGCATCAGCCATAGCTTTGTAAATGAAATGAGAGGCCTGTTTTGCTGAGCTGAGGAGAAGCAGACCCCAGGTAGGAGCCTTGATTCCAGCCCCTCTCTCATGGGAGTTTCCCTGGGCCTTGGCTGGCCCTCACCAGGGGGAAGGAGACAGCAGGGGAAGGGGTCCCTCAGGCCACCAGTGACCAAAGCCCACAGGCACAGACAGGACCCCAGCTGGGGCTGTCCTCCCACTCTGTCTTCTGGGGTCACTGTGCCTTCAACCTGTCACCGCCCCAATGGGAAATAAAACACATTGTAAGGTGAAAATGTTAAGATAATACAGTAACAGCTCATAAACTTGCCAGGAGAGAGGCTTTAAAAGGGGCTTGCTTTCCTTTGGGCGTCTCAGAAATGAAATGCAATAATTCAGGATAGAATCTGGCTGGAAGAGGCAGAGCATGGCCCGGCCGGGAAGCAGGGATAAACCAAGAGGTGAGGAAAAGCCATTTAACGTGACCTGAATCAGCAGCTACAGATAGTGTTCCCTGCTTGTTTTACATTTTCAAATAAAAAGGATCTTCTTGTTTAATGGTTAATAAAAATGATTAGTCCTCCCAGGGCACAGATCCTGACAGATGCAGACTGTGCTGGAGGGAGCAGCTACAAGACACAAGAGAAGCTGAAACCAATTATTTTTTTTCCTGCAGAGTACATCCCTACCAGCATTTGCAAGTTAATTTGTAATATAATTATATGTTGCTTCTGTCACAGAAGCACAGCACGTGTGATGGGCCAGCAGCCCCCACTGCCACCAGCAGCCTGTGCCAGCCCAGCCAACACTGCTGCAGCCAAGCAAAACAACTGCTAAGGGGGCTAGGGCCACACACATTTATATGGACATATATATGTGTGTATGTTTTTATACAGAAATATGTGTGTATTTTTTATATACACACATGTATGTACAGGAGAGCAAGGTGATTGCCTTGGGGCATGTATCACTTGAAAGCCATAGAGGGTCCACTGGCCAGAAAAGTTGCCTTGCTGCCTAGGGCAGCTC